TCCCACAAATTTCCAGCGTAATCTACGCATATTCTCATGAAGAACTGGGAAAATGTGGCCTACCTCCCACAACCCACATTAAGAAATAAGTTTTGGGACAAATTAACAGATGGAACAGCAAGGATAGTAGTATCAGTACTTCAGTGGTAGATGTAGATGCGACAAATGGTGCGTGTGGTGATCACCTGGAAGATGGGTGGGTTGAGGGGCTCCGAGCAGATGGTGCGTCAAGAACTTGGGGTCCAACTTGGCAAAGATCTCCCTGTCCGGTCCCCACGCTTCTCCTACCGTCTCTGCCGCCATTTGCTTTCGCCTTTTCTGGCCCGGTTTCTCGGAGCAAGCCGACGACGTCTTCGCCTCTTCTCCCTGTCCTTCCGTGCTGGAAAGGCTCCTCCTTTGACGGGGCCGCGGTGGCATCGCCCGCAGCATACATAAAGGTGGCTGGCTATGGTTCGTACCATACCGTCTCTAAATTATATATTTGTAGGGGTGTTCCTAGATCACCTAGAAACCACTCCTATAAATTGATTTATAGAGGTGGCTGGAGTTATCAGCCGCCCCTGCAAATTGATTTGTAGGGACGGCGGGTAACATCAGCCGTCTCTACAAAATCGATTTATAGGGGCGGTCGTAGTACCAGCCGTTCCTATAATACATATTTGTAGGGGCGGTTCAGTCTAGAACCACCCCCTACAGTACATTTTTTTGTTAAAAAAATCAAATTTACAATTCAAATTCAACCAGAACATATATTTTTCATGCACAACTCCATCATGACTTATCTTCTTCTGTGATTGTACTGAAACTCAATGACAATACACATTTATTTATACCAGATTATAATAAATATTCCATGATTTTTAGGTGGACAGTTTAGTCCAAATAAATAAAACAGCAAATTTCATCTATTAAACTTTCCGGTAATAGTAATAACATTTCATGGTGACTATGATTTTTATGTGAAAGACCACAGAATAACAAAATCAATGGCGCCCAGATCTAGCAATCGAACATCACAAAATCAGATGCTTCTAATAATCCTTCCATTTGCAGAGTTGCAGTCACACATCAGGCTAATATAGCACTAAAGCAGACTGAAAACGGAATTCGTAATCTACAGGAACTGAAGGGAACGAGTGGTACTCAATGTCTGCTGGCAGTGGCCTGCACCTACTTGCTTGTGGCAGCGAAGATGACGCGCCATTAGCAGATCCTTTACCTTTAGATGCTTTAGCTTCGTAAGATCTTGACATGGTTTGTTATTTGCTGCCACTATCCGGCAATGTAGAGTAATAAAATGGAGTGAAGCATGTAAATGCAACATAATTAGAGTACTATTCATCTATCTATAACTATAATGCAAACACAAAGATTACTATGCATGCATTCTCAACCAGACTTAGAAATAACCATTCTACACTAATGTCTAGTATCTAGGTGCATCTAGTTCCTGCTGTACTTAGCATCTATAAGACGCAATAAGAAGGCCCAAGATTTCTGAATTATTAGTATGGCGGTGCTATGATCAACAAAGCATAGTTCATTGTAGTGGTAAACTTTAGAAGGCGCAAGTATTAGCTTCCATGTTGAAAAACATGACAAGAGTAAATAATTTATCAAAAATTATTATGACAATTATATCATTCTCTCATAAATATATAATTTTATCTCAGATTTTCTACAATCCTTGAGGAAGCTGTTGATATCAGTGCAACCACAAACTTCAATCTTAACTCATGCTAATTTAGTGCAAAACAAGAAATGACAGATAAAGCACATTGGAGCTATCACTAGACCAAGATACTCACAGGAGTGAAGAACTTAGATGCACTTAGAGGTATACAGCTGATAGTCCTCCAACCTGAAAGAATACAGAAAAAAATGAAAGAATCAGCTGATGCAATAAGATGACACTACCATAAGTTACATGTGCTAAAATCATTCTCTTAGTTATCTTAGTGTAAGAATCCACTGATGCAAGGTCTTTCTTTCTTCTAAAGCATCATCAAATCTTGATTTGGCTTCCAAGTTCTTCAGATGACAGCTACATAGCATAGTAAAAGTAGGCAGCTATGTAGAGGCTACAGTCCACATAAAGGATAACTGAAAATATGAACCAGGAACAAAGATGCATAACTGAACTTGCAGGTAATTTACAGATCTTGTATGGAGAGGCCGCAATTAAGCCTTAGCTGCAATCCACTGCTCCACCAGTTTCTTTCACAACCAGTACTAAGCAGAGATGACATGTTATATTCGACAAATTAAGAAGAACCCAGATATACAACATGCCTAGGAGTATTATGTCAGGATACACAAGTGGTTGACATGTTATATTCGACAAATTATAAGCAGAAGGCAAGGCCATCCAAGCTGTGAAAAGCTTACCTTTTCAGTGGTTGACATATTCAGTATGATGATCAATTTTTATGTCAAAGATATCATGTAGCAAATCATTGTCCTGCACAGACAAAGAGAAACTCGAACTTTATTATTATTCTCAAGAAAAAGTGACTTGTTAAGTGAATGTAGGTTGTGGACAATAGAAAGAAAAAGCACCAAGAGACGACATCACTTTCAGTATACTATAAGCAACAAATAGAACTATTGAAAGTTCTTCACTTCTTCCTACTTTTGATGCATTTACTCTAGGGAACATTGATGTCATGGTCAATGGATATTGGTTCATCAATCTTAAATAAATATGGCAATGACTCCATCAAGTTCAACATCTGTGAGCATGTATCTAACTGAGAATGTGACACAAGCAACTACATCCTACAGGTTTACATTACACTGAACCCATGAAATCTGTAAATTCTACTTGAATTCACAAGCATACTTAAATTCATAAAATTGAACATAACTACAATACCAATATTTTTTATAAGGTGTCAACGTACCAACTAACTACTGGCTAGCTTGTTTTTGAACCACAATTTTAAGTTTTCTCTGCACATATAACTACAGATTGAATTCATGCAAAAGACCAAATCAAAAAAATGGTACATATAACTATGAAGATAGGATGCAACGGCTCTGACAAAAAAGAGAGAGTAATTAATCCATGTCAAGCACTCACAAGCATAATACTCCAGTCCCTGAAGAGTCAAATGCACCAAATCCCTTACTCCAGTCCCTAGTCCCTAACCCCAGTCCCACCAATCCCTTAATCCACTGAAGAGAGTAGATCTGAGAGGGTAAAAGAATGAGCACACCTCCCGATGGCAACAGCACGACTGCACGAGTGCCTGAGAGACCCTGCGATGGCGGCGGCACAGGCGTCTAGAAGCCCTTGGGGGTAGGGGCAACGGCGTTAGGGAGGACCATGGGGGCGGTGGCGTGAGTGTCGAGGAGGTCCGAACGTGGACGTCGGGGAGGCATCGGATCTACCGCGTCACCGCCGCTAACGCAGAAGTCGTCCTCCTTAGGGTCCATGGCGGTGTAGGGCGGTAGCATCTAGATCTGAGAGAGAGGAAAGGAGAGGGGGTGGAGGCAGAGCAGGAGAGGATGGGATGGTGGCCGCATTGATGGAGGAGAGGCCGGTGGCTGCGGTGCTATGGAGAGAGGGAGGGAGGGAGAGATGCTAGGGTTTTGTGGAGCACAGAAGTAGATGCTAACCGACGCGAGGAGGCAGCAAGGGGTGGGAGGCACACCGGAGGCCATCGGCGAGGCCCGTAGACGGAGACGGGCACCGCCGGGTCCCATGGCCGACGTCGCACAGCAGCCCGAGGGCACCGTCGGTCGCCGCCAGCTCCTCGCGGAGTGAGCCAGTGGCGAGGGACTGGCCGGCACAAAATGACGCGATGGGGGGAGGAGGAGGTGGAGAAAGGCGGCCGCAGCCACCGTGCTTGCTCGCGCCAGGCGCCGCCACGGCCCTGTCCGCATCGAGGGAGAGAGGGAGTGAAGAGGAGAGAGACTAAGAGAGGAGGGGGGAGAATTTTCTCCAAGATGGTCGTTATATATACAGCGGGCATTTGTAGGGGCGGCTGGTGATTAAGCCGCCCCTACAAATGGACACAGCAGGGGCAGCTGGTAATACGAGTCGCCCCTACAAATCGACGCATTTGTAGGGGCGGCTCGTATTACCAGCCGCCCCTACTGTGCCATTTGTAGGGGCGGCTGCTGTGCTGGAGCCCGAGCACGTCACTGTAAGGACGGCTCCAATGCTAGCCGCCCCTAAAGAAAAAAAAAGCTCCGTTGCTACAAACTATTTTTCACGTTTTGACGTGCGATGACACAGGAGGAAGAGAAACCAAAACAAAAGCTTGTTAATGGTCAGTGTGGCCCCACCAAGAAGAGGTTATTCGAAGCACGTTTGGACGATGGCCAAAATACGTCACACATATTTCCAGACGGCGACGGTGTCCCCGTCGTAGAATAATTTTATCTGGTCTCTTCTCCGTTTTACCGTGGTTAGATCTGGCCATAATGAAGAACTAGGGAGAATAAATTTCAGATCGGTCTTTCCTATTCTTCAGTGGCAGAAAGAAGAAGAAGGAAGATACAAGAAAGAAGTTTCTCAACTCCGTCTACATGAATGTTGGCCGTTATTTGTTGGCATCTGTTCTCAGGTCTTTTGCCAAGTGTTTGCCTGTGCGGTCATCCATATTGCAAAGCGTCGTACATGTTTGGTTTTGAGATCTGGAGCTATTCACAGCGTGGGTATAATTTAGATGAAAATCAGTTTCTGGATATTTGTGTAATTCAGAGTGCTTGTAATGTGTTCATGTACCCAGCTATTATCTAATATAATTCTTTTTTTGTCGCAAAAAAAAATTCCCCTCAAATCAGAAATGTGCCAGACGTTGTTGTTAGGATTTGGGACACATTTTGTTCATGCCCAGGTTAGCAAGTATGTTGTACAAGGTAAGAAATATTATATTCTTTATTTACATTTTTGGGTGTGTTTCTAAGCCATGAAATTGGTGTTTTTGCCCTTCAACCGGATCAATCTTGTGAAAACAAAGATCATAATAAAGGCTTATTATCACAAAGAGCTATCCTATTCCCTTCCACGCAGACATGCCGCGCCAGCCGATCATGCTGTATTTGCTGCTATCGCGGAAGAAATCAAAACTGATCGCATCAAGAAGAACTGAACTTGCACAGTTGCATTTATGCAGCATCCTAAGATCGAGTTTATAGAAAAGAGTTGGTCTCGCCCAACTATAAACATAGATTATGCTAGTGCATGATATCCATGATCAAAATGAACAAGAGTGACGGCTTAGTTGATCCCTGTCATCTCCATTGCCGGAGAGCTTGATTCAACCGCGCGTGACCGTCAGTCCTGGACCTTGTCGATGCGGACACTGAGGTGCAGCTGACTGGACGCGCCGCGGAGCATGTTGCGCGGGACCGGCAGGAACGTGCCCTCCTCGTCCGCAGCCACTGCGCCGGCAGCCGCGGCGCTGGGCCCCTCCATGTCCACCAGCACGCTCTCCACCTTCCCGACGCGGGGCCTTTGCACCCGATCGCCCACATCTTCAACGTGAACTGTGGCCCGGCAGCCGCCGCGCCGGGCGCCCTCACGCACGCCACCGTCACCGGGACGGCGCGCGCAGCGCGCTCGCCGCCGTGCTCCTCCGCGACGAGCAGGCGGCGCGGCTCGGTGTCCGGCACGCGGATGCGGAGCGCCTCCCCGTACTGGAGATTGTCCACGGGCCAGCAGTGCGGCGCGGCGGCGAGGTGGGCGAGGAGCATCGGCGGCGAGCCCAGGAACGCGCAGCCCGGCTCCCCGCAGACGCAGGGCGCGTGCGCGCACGCGCTCCCGTGGTCGCCCGCCAGGTAGTAGGCGACGGAGGCCCGGCAGCCGTACGCCTCGTGCGGGCACGGCACCAGGACCTTGGAGACGAAGGCGTCCATGGCGGGACAAGGCGCGTAGACGCCGCCGCCGTCGCCGTCGCACGAGTGGCACTGATTGGTGGGGAGCTGGCCGTGGCAGCTGCCGCACGCCATGTGCCCGACCCCGCACTAGAAAAAAAAAGTCTTTTTTTCAGAAGAATGCATGAACAAGCTCCATTGATTTGCTGGGTAGAAGAGCGAGCAGACCTGGAAGATCGGGGGCTTCAACGGGAGGGTGCAGAGCGGGCAGTGGAGCATGTCCCTGTCGATCTCGATCCTCGCAGGAATGGCGACGCCGGCGGTGGCATCCCCTCCCAAGACCAGCAGTGCGCGTCCGCCGCTTGCTGCCTCCTCCTCCCCCGCCACCTCTAGCTTCACCTGATTCCTTGGTGATGACTCCATCCTCGGCTTCTTGGCGCTGCTCCGGTCGCCATTCTCCATCGGCGTCGGCGACGGCTCTCCGCTCATGATCGCACCCGCGACCTCTTCTCTGACACTCAGAGCCCTAAGCTCAAGACAGGAAACCAATACCAATGTCGAGGACGATGAACAAAGTGACCAGACCAGGCGACCTCCTGTGCTTTATCCCCTTTGCCATTGTCAGGACAAGGAGACGAAGCGACGTTCTAGGGACGCGTGGCCTCATCACCTCACTTTTCGCATTGAGTGTTCCCGTGGCATAGAGTTCAGGGGCACCAGGCAACTAGTACTACAGAAATGCTTCATGGACAACCGGGCTTCAGTGCTTCACATTCCAGTTCCACCGTGCAATGGCAGCCAAAATTTGAAAACAAGCAGGTGGGCGATCGCCTCTATTTTCAAGGCACAAATTTGCAAGGTGAACGCATCCATATGCCTGTGTTTTACTGTTTCTCTCTTTATATAGTGAGAGGCACGGACACATCCATATTTCATGGAAAGGAAAAACTACTCCTCAGAGGCAAGGCATCACTGACGCACTGACGCTGGCCAGGCATTACATCTCATGATCAAAAGCCAGGACGGGCAAGGGGAACACGAATCCGAGCGAGAAAAGGTGTGAAGATCCTAGAGCCATTGCAATGCAGTAATTTCATACTCTCTCCATCCGAAAAAGAATACAACTACCTGTTACATGCCAGCAAAAATAGTTTAAATTTGACCAAATTTCTACTAAATATTATTTACATTTACAGCTCCAAAATAATTTATTATAAAAATACATTTTATAACTAATCTAATGATATTTATTTGATATCATAAATATTAATTTTTTTATCTATAATTGATTGAACTTAACATACTAAACCATGATACTTTGCTAAAATTGCATTTTTCTCTGAACGGAGGGAGTATAAAAAACATATGAATCGAAAAAATTTACCACGTTCAAAGACTTGCACTGCCAGCAAGACTAGGACTGCTTCTGTCCATAAAAGAATACAATTTTCATATTTCGATGAGTCAAACAGTTTAAACTTTAACTAAAATTATATAAAAATATACTAATACTCATGAAACAAAATAAGTACCATTAGATTAGTTATAGAATATATTTTTATAATAAATTTAGTTGGAGACATAAATGCTAATACTATTTGCTATAAACTTAGTCAAAGTTGAATTAGTTTGACCAATACGTTTCTCATAATTGCATTCTTTTGCGACGGATGATCCCAATTTACTACGACCGGTCTCCAGCGCCCCTGTCCTTGCACAGATGATCCCAATTTATTACACAAGATTACAAGATGTAAGCTTTAAGGAGATTCTAATTGTCTGATATTGCCATTACCCTTTTGATCATAGTTCACTTAATGTCAAAGTACAACCTCGGAAGGCCCGTCAAGAACGCACGAACCAACTTCGCAGGAGCACAAATCTTGGAGGAATTATAAGTTGCATAAATAAGTAGAGCTACTTGCATTGAAGTACCAAACTACAATTAGACACCAAGTAAAATGCTGAGAACAATCGCCAACACCACGATGCCGGTGCCAAATCCAGGGCCCTGCTGAGCTGCCATTGTCGACGTCGCCCGAAGACACAGTCAAGGTCATGCCTCAACCGCCACTTGGCGCTAGCCATGCCAACCCAGCGTGTGGCCTTTGTCCTTAACCAACCTCTGTCCCACCACCATGGACCGCTTCCTGCCAGATCCAGCGTGTCCACCGTGTCACTGCGCCGCCATACAGCGTGGCCTCCAATCCGCCACCGCCGTGTAGCTTACAGGCCTATAGCAAGGTTATTTGGATGAAACCAATTGTAATGGTTTATTGTCAATTTGTCACAAAGCATAAAAAGGCAAGAGACCAACTGCAAGCATTGGAACTGAAGACGGAAGAGGAAAAACGTTTGATCCAAAAAAAAACGCACTGGCCTCTGGGAAGGTTGTGATGACGGTGACGTGTATCATACAGGCCTATGTACAGAGGATGCAAGTTCATGTACGTAACTCTGCAATGATTGGATCGCAAAAAAAAAAGTCTTGAAAAAAGTTCTACTCCTAATAAACAGGTAATGATTGATCAAGGGGAACTGGGAAAGCATGAACGATCGGCAGGTAGTCATAACAGTAAAAGAACATGAACCTGACCGGTAAGTCCGGTACTCTTACAAGTGTACAACTCAGCAAAACCAAACGAACCTGGAGGACCGTCATGGCGCTCTCTCTCTGCACAGCAGAAACGACCTGATTTTTAAACAGAATTTTGATTTTTGAAGAAATGCGTCGACGATAAAAGCTCTAACATAGCCTAATGATGATCTACTCACTATTATTAATTCCTCTACGTTGGCATATCCTCCTTTCCTATGATGATCTACTCGCTATCATAGCCTAATGAATTTCGTGAATACCAAACCCGGTATGCTAACATCAAGGTCAATAACAATCACTGAATCACAAGCAAAATCTCCCCCCACAAAACAGTCACAAGCTGCCAAAGGCTCGGCTCCCTTGCATTTGCCAATTGCCATGCATCATTGTGTTCCAAGCAGTCATGGCTGCCAGTCTGCCACGGTAGCATCCTCAGCCATCAGTGCAGGTCAGCAGCCTCCTAGAGCCAGAGCTCCTCGGTGCCGTGGTCGACTTGGCAGCAGCGCCTGCTCTGTCGATGCGAACCATGAGGACGGGCGCCTCGCCGGACACGTCGTCCAGGATCTCCGGTGGCATCGCAAGGAACATGGCCTGGTCGGCGGCCGAGAACGCACCGGCGCCGGACATGCTGCTGCTCCGCACCATGGACATCATCATTGCCACGCTCTCCTTGCTGCTGGCGGCCTCCGCCCAGAGCTTGCACCTGAACTGGGGCGCCCCCACCGCCGCGTCGCCGTTGGCCCTCACGCACACCAGCGACACCGCGGCGGCCGCGCCTAGCGTGCACGCGGACACCAGGAACACGCGCCGGCCCTCCTCGCCCACCAGCACGTGCCAGCCCTGCGGCGGCGGAAGGGCGACCCTGAGCGGCTTCCCGTAGCTCACCTCCGTGACGGGCCAGGAGTGGGCGCCGGCGAAGTGGTCGGCCAGCCTCGCCGGCGCGCTGAAGAAGCCGCAGCCGGGGTCCGGGCACGAGCAGGGCGCCCACTGGCACGCGCGCTGGTGGTCCGCCGCCTCGAAGTACACCACGGAGCTCTTGCACCCGAACTCCTCGTACGCGCAGGGCTGCTTGGCGTCGCGCACGAAGGCGTCCACCTCCACGCACGGTGAGTAGATGGCGGCGCCGCGGCACACCTGCTCGTGGCTGTTGCAGCAGGTGCCGCATATCACGTGCCCGTACTCACACTGAAAGCACAAAAAATCTTTAGTTTTCATCAGTGATCTCGATGACATGTCGATGATGAGAACAGAGCAATCGTACGTACCTTGAACGTTGGAGGCTTGAGGGGAAGGCGACAAGATCGGCAGTGGAACAAGGTGAGCCCAAACGTCAAATTGATCTGCGCCTCCTCCATGGCTTCCGCGCTGCTGCCCTGCCTAACCTCTCCTTCCTCCTGCTCTTCTTCATCCTCTGCTGCCTCGTCTATCTCTTGCTGCTCCCGCTTGATCACGCCGTTGGGCATGGCCTGAGCCCTCGCCTTCTTGCCGTTGTGGCCGTGCTCGCCGTTCTCCAGCTGCGAGCCCCTCTTGCTCTGTTCAGCCATCTCCTCCTGTCACTCAAGTGTGGTGCCAGCAGCAACGTACCAAATCATCTTATTCGGTTTGGGGAACGGATCAGAAGGTGAGCTCCGTGGTGACCACAAGCACAAGAAGAGAAGCCTCTTCTGGCCCCAACCGGCTATGTGTAGCGTGAACGAGCAAACAAGCTGCTGAGTTATATCATACACCAGAATAGAGGAGGCAGTTGCAGAATTTAGAAAAAAAAAGGGTTTCATCAAACCCTATGATTGGAGGTAAATAGTATCTCTAGATAGCAATTTATGTTTGCTACATTACTCCGGTTACCGTTGCGATACTTTGATATAATAGCTCTAACAAATTATAGCCATTAGTTTTTAAAATTTATGACACAATTAAGTAACTAAAAGCCAGAAAAGAAAAGAAAAACCTAGAAAAAAATAGGATTAAGTCCACTTTTGCTCCCTCAACTATTGTGTCGGTCTAATTTTAACCCTCAACTACAAAACCGTCTAGTACCGGTACACCAACTGTCAAAACCGTTCACTTTTAGCACCTGGGCGAGGACAAGGCTGTTTTGACCGATGTTGAGCGGTTTTGACACGCAACCTCCATCTCAGTGACATGTGGGGCCCATGCGTCATCAACTCAATCCCTCCCTCTCCATCCTCACGACCACGGCCTTGCGCTCCTAGATGCCGACGAGGAAGGCGGCCGCGGCGCCGACTGCGGAAGCACACGCGCGGTCCGCGAGCGAGCCGTGGCACCCGGAGCTCGCGCGCCTCCACGACACCGTCCGCGCACTCAGGGCATGCTGCGGCGCCGGCGGAGCCTCCTCCTCCTCTGGCCACGGCCTCGCGCTCCTGGACGCCAACGAGGAAGGTCGCCGCGGCGCCGACCGTGGCCGCACATGCGCGGTCCGCGAGCGAGCCATGCCACCCCGCGCTCGTGCGCCTCCACGGCACCGTCCGCACGCTTAGGGTGTGGTGCGGCGCTGGCGGAGCCTCCTCCTCCTCCGGCCACGGCCTCGCGCTCCTGGACGCTGTCCTGGCCGTGCTCGGCGACCTGCTGGCCATGCCGCGGGCCGCGATGGCTCTCCACGACATCGACGCCAACGACGACCAGGTCCTCGACGGCCTCCTCGTGCTCGCGGACACGTACGGCACATTCGAGTCGGCGCTGCTCGCGGCGAAGCAGAGCGTGGCGGACGCGTAGGCTGGCGCCCGACGCGGGGACGGCACGGTGGTCGCCGCGTCACTGCGCGCGCACAGGCAGACCAAGAAGGAGCCGCACCGCCTCGCCGCCGCGATGCGGCACGTCTCGACCTCGAGGCACGTGGCGCCGGCGCCCAGCTCAGTGGACGCTGCAGACACTGAAGTGGTCGCCGCGGTGGCGGAGGCGGCCATGGCCGCGGCGGAGGCCTCGGCGGTCGTCTTCTCCGAGTGCGCGGCCTTGTCGCCGAACATGCCGGCCATGGGTACAAACGGCGTCTTCGGCTTCGCACAGGCATGGCCGGTTGCCGGCGAGCCATGGCCGTGAGGATGGAGAGGGAGGGATTGAGTCAATGACGCGTGGGCCCCCACATGTCACTGAGATGGAGGTTGCGTGTCAAAACCTCTCAACGTCAGTCAAAACAGTCTTGCCCCCGTCCAGGTGCTAAAAGTGAACGGTTTTGACAGTTGGGGTACCGATACTAGACGGTTTTATAGTTGAGGGTTAAAATTAGATCGACACAATAGTTGAGAGGCCCAAAATGGACTTAATCCGACAAAATAACATGGATTACAATCCTACGCAGGTAATCCCTTGCTTAATCAGGGTGAATTTATACTATTGACTACGGCCTGCAGGTGTGGTCTCACCCAGTCACCATACCCACGATAAAATCAAAATTATATTGTTACTACAAGAATCTTCACCGCATATACTTCAGCTCTCCCTGGCTTGATCTGCATGCACATATGCATGATGCCTGGGAGGTGTACGCTTAGGTAGGCCACGCCTATAGCATGCTTGGTGTACTATTATTAATAAAAGGTTTTTAGAGATAGCTCCTAATTCATAGAGGCGGACATTCTTAGTGCCAGTTTTAAAAAAAAATGAGGTGGCCCTAACTCGATAAATAATCCCTCCATTCAAAATAAACAATTCTCTTGAAACTTTTAGATAAATTAAGAATGCGGATAAAAGATGCATCTATCCTCACCCTTTTCTATCTCCGAGGATATCTTCTGAATTTGGCAGTTCTCGTTTGCATGCACATGTGATTAGCTTCCACATTAAGAGGCGGTGTACCGTGTTTTTGTAGAATGTTATTTTTTTGACAAATTTTAAACCTTGAAAAGTTATTTAATTTAGAATGAAGGGAGTAGACATTAATAGAAGTGAACCCCCTTAGAAAGGCAGCATTTTTAAAAAATTATAAAAGTGGTCATCTTAGAACTTCTGTCTCTATTATTGAAAGACCTATTTTTTGCCACTACTTCTTCCTCCCTAAGCTCCTCACTCCCTTACTTGGACAGGTGTTATCGGAATGGACAAGCTCTAAGAGTCCCCCAAAAAAGTGTTTTCTCAAGGGGTAGGGGCTGATCTTCATTTCTTTGAAGAAGTTTGATCTAAGAGTTGGTTTGTGCTCTCGTGTGACTTTTTGTTGTTTTGTTTGCTGGCTTTTGCGTCTTTGGATGGGATTTGATATAGAGGTGGCACATGATGATTTCCTCCATTGTTTTAGCATCATTTGAGCTCAAATCAGTTGCCCATCTTCGGTCATATTATTGCTCTTACATGTATCTCCGTGTAGCATCAATTTCAAGTTTAGTAATGCGTAGCTTGATCACCATGAATGGAAAATTTTTCATCTAGATCTAATCTAGATGGAGAGAGAGAAGGAGAGATGTGTGTGAGGCCAAAAAGGAAATAAAATGCCCATATATATTTCTAAAATTGTGAATACCATCTACAAGAAGATAAACCCAATCATCAAAACTTCCATCATGTACAAGAAGAACAAAGGCAACAACAACCACTACATCTAGGTTAGTCATTGCAGTCACCGAAGATGATGTTGAGGACCCTCGCATCAAAGTGTTGGCGTGGGTGAGTCGTTGAAGTCGCTAAAGTGTTGGCGAAGCCCCTCTTGCAGAAGTGTTTGTCAGGAGCGATGTTGGGGAAATCCATGAGGTATGTGAACAAATCTCCCTTTAGAAGAGGCCCAACTAGTAGCTAGAGTACCCCACCAAGGGGCCACTTGTAAATAGCCATTGCCTATAAGTTCACAAGGCCATGAGAGCAAGGGTTCTCACCTCTCACTCATTTGTACTTGTTGAAAACCCTCGTGTGTACCCTCTCCACTGTCGAGCTCTCTCCTCCCTCTCTCTCCCCTATTCGGAACAGTCAACACATTACTTAGCATTCATCATAGCTCCTCCCTCCCTCTCTCTCCTATTCAGAATTGTCAGTTCTAACACATTACTTAACATTCATCATATCGATCAACATACTATTATGATCAACACTCAATATTCAACAATTCAATTGTTATTTAGTGCTTTATTACATGATTTATTAAATAAATAACCTAAAGGAGAGATAGATATATAGATTATAGTCCTCTAGACTAATTAAAGAATGAATATTTACCTCGGTCAAGATTAGAGGTGCTAAAAATTTATGATACAATTAAATAACTAAAAAACAAAAAAGAAATTAAATCCTAGAAAAAGAAAAAATAAATCACATGGGTTGCTATTATCAACTTTGTTGCCGTCGGTAATTTCAAATATAGGTTGCTTGCTTGCATGTGTATGTGTGGGAACAAGCTAAAGTTAGATCAGGACATAAAATTTTGTAGAAGATCGGATTAGGATTGGACCATTCTTTAAAAAATTAGGGCTGTAGTGGGGTTTGGTTGGAATCTTAACCCCTACCAGGATTAATGGGAGCTGTCACCACCGACACAGATATCGATGGTATATACCTTTCTACAGGGGACGCATTTAGAGTGTGGGTGTCTGAGTTTTAGGGGAAGAATGGCTTCGTCGAGGCGAAGTACAATGGGATAGAGGTTGTCGTCAGCGTTTGGGGAACTATGCCGCACTCGGCGTGGATCATCGGCTACATCAAGCGGGAGGACAGGACCTGGATACGCATTTAGAGTGCGGGTGTCTAAGTTTTAGGGGACAAATGGCTTCGTCGAGGCGAAGGACAATGGGAGAGAGGTTGTCGTCAGTGCTTGGGGAACCATGCCGCACTCGGCGTGGATCATCGACTACATACACAGCTCAGAAGTATTTTTTCGAACAACATATTTATATTGCACGAAAGACAACAGAGTATAGAGAGTGAAGAGCAAAGAAGCTCGACATTACACGGCATTAACGGACGCCCAAAATTTGAGAAGAGATAGAAAAAAAAGAAAATTAATCCAAGTTCTAAGGTCTTCAACCACTTTTGTATCGGCAACTCTAAAACTACAAGTTCTGCACTGTGCACCTGATGACGTCCACGACATTGTCGCGCTGACTTCCTTGAGAGCCACAATCTCCAGAGCAGAACCCGCACGACACCCAAAGTAGGGAAAGGGACATGCTGAAGCCGATCTCGCACGGTCGGTTAACGAAATCTCATAGGAGCAGGCACCGAGCAACGTGCAAACTGCGGTGGCCACTGGCAAGGGAGCTGGAGGCGAAAATGTGAGTGTTGATCGGTTTCCACTGTAGAGGGACACCTGGTGCACGAGACCTCATCACGCTGAAGGATGTTTTCCAGAGTAGAAAGCCTGAGTATCATCCATCTCATTCCCCTTCGTCCTTTCGAATAAGGAGAAAACAGGAACCATTCTATCCTCTTAAGCAAACCGATAACAGGGCTCGCCTTATCCCTAAAAGCTAGGGCCTTGTTTGGATACATCTTAGATTGTGGAAGCTGGATTTTAAAAATTAGATTGCTAGAAGCTGGATTATAGAATATGAATTGAGGCTGATTGGATCCATAGATTATAAAAGCTGAGGCAGACAACTTTCTAGAGTAAATAAAATTACATTAATACCCTCACTATTTTATTTTATGTAGTAGTTATGAAAGAAAGAGACAGTAGCAGAATAGTCTTTTGAAGACTTGAAGCTGGAAGAAGCTTGGTTCCCTCAACTTACAAGATTATGGAATTTGGTGTATCTAGATTCTAAAAACTAGCTATAAGCTATGATTATTTGGAGCTGGAGCCCTCTCAAAGCTATAAGCTATGATTATTTGGAGCTGGAGCCCTCTCAAGATTCTATTAGCCAGCTTCTATAATCTTTGTGAATCCAAGCACGCCCTAGATTGTGTCCGTCTCTTTCCACTCTGCCCCAACAAACACACGTAGATAAATGGAGAAGAACAAAAGATTGATACAATGATCGGCCTGCAGCGCACGATCTGCTCGTAGTTTCTCCAAGAGCAAACCGTTTCATTCTCCAAGAGAAACGAACTAGCGCAGCAGACGACAGATCACTCGACTACTCGCGCAGAGCCGCTTACCCTGGGAACGTGCATAGCTTAGGTCTGCAGTGTAGGAACCTACAGCCTGTTCGTTTGGTCATATTTGACTTATAAGCCATGATTTATTAGCAAACGAACAATATTTTTCTCTCATATCAAATCAGCCAACAGTATTTTCAGCCATGACTTATAAGCCAAACAAGCCCAAACGAACAGAGCGTAGGCATAGGCTCGAACAGTATCCCAAGCTCCAATACTCTCTCCGTCCCGGTTTCCGTCAAATGTTGCCTGAAACAAGACAAACTGGCGATTATTAGTTACACAAACAATCCTGTGATGGGAGGGCGGAGGCGGCGACACATCCCGGCGGACTAGTCCACTCCTTGGAGGTATGGACTGGGCTAGAACCATGCGGAACCTGTTAAAAATAATTATAAAAATATAACTACTTACTAGTAGGAGGTTTTGAGATGCGTGCAATTTTTAGTAATGCAAACAAACAAAAACAACATTTTCCCCTTGACCTTCTGTTTCAACAAGAAAAAGTTTTGAAGTTCTATTCCGTCCACCTCCATGTGTTGATTGCTTACGACAGGTAAGCGTAAATTCGCCACTGTGGGAAGTCGTCATTCCTTCAACATGTAGCATTTGCTTATATGCAGCCATCTTGTGCTCTTGTTTCGAACACTCTGCAGTAAAACTTAGAGTCATCATGCAGAGTCTTTTGGCACTTGCCAACATGGCTTTCACGAACCAAAGTTCAGTTGCTGACAATCCGGTAAGCTCTACTCGCTTCAGGTGAGCCATAGATATCCAATGGTCTGGGTGATCATTGCACTCCTGCAATACATATACAGAAAAAAAAAGTTGAGTATATATTGTCCTTCCTCCGTTCCAAATTCCAAATTATAAGACGCTTTGATTTTTTTAGATTAATAACTTTTCCTACGCGACTAGATACATATTATATTTGCATACATAATAAAAGTTATATATC